AGGTGCGGGACTTGTGGCTGTTCCCCAGGAGGCAGATATCAGAGCAGCCTCCTGGCTTGTTGAACTGGTCCACAGCACAGGCGTGACTCCGCACTGAAAGTAAAACCAACAGAGAGGAACCGCTATATCTCACCGTCTTGAACACGGACACATGCGGCAAACGTCAACATTTCCCCGAGCAGCGGCATTCAACATTCGCGTCCCACACACAACGAGAGAGAGAGAGAATTTAACCATCGCACCCACCCTACCCCTCCCCTTGACGTTCCATGGTGTTCCCATCACTGAATCCCACACCCCGACCCCCACCCCCCAAACTATCACCACAAACTGAAACTGGGATGTACCAGCACGGGGCACACACAGTGGGGACGGGCCGAATGGATTGCAGCAGGGTGAGCCAGCGACCGCACCCCTACCCCCGATGGAAAGCGACCGAACAAACTTGGCCTCAGGCTGACGCACAGGGGGTGACAATCGCCCGGTTCAGCAATCCTTCTGCCCCGGGGGCCAGATGTCGGAAGTGAGCCAAGAAAATCTCCGTGAGCCAATACGCTCCTCTGTTTTCTCACACATTGATGCTGAGCTAGGCATTTTCACAATCGACCAAATTGAGGAACTCCGCTTATGGCTTTTTCACTGGAAATGCTGACAGAGGGACCAGAACAAAAACGCCCCCTTCATTCCCCTACACTCCCTCCCAATCTCCGTCACCCCCTCCGTTCCCCTACACCCCCTCCCAATCTCCGTCACCTCCTCCAACGCCCTACACCCCTTCCCTATCTCCGTCACCCCCCTCCAGCCCAAGCTCTGACCTGTTGGTTGTCTCCTCTGGTGGTAGACGTGGAGGGCCCCACCTTTCTCGACCCTGGTCACCACCTGGAAGTCCGTCTTGTTGAAGCGGTTCACCCTCAGGACGCTGGTCTTCTGTTGCGCATTGGCATTGTCCGAATTGGTGGCGTACAGGTAGTTCTCAAAGACGGTCAACCCATAGAGGTGTTCGATCTGTGACAGGGAGCAGGACGGGGTGAGGAACGGGGCACAGAGAGAGACAGAGAGAGAGAGAGAGAGAGAGAGAGAGAG